TCCTATATTTATTTTTTCTCAAGAAGACACACTAGGGCTTATTTTCAAGGGGTGTCTTATTTTTATTAAGTATAATACAACAATCTACATTTATTCCAATACAGTTAAGTCATCTTCTTCTGGAAACTGGCAGGGGGAGCTAACCTTGTTGGTGGGGCTGGCGCTAGTGATGTGTGAACTCCTTTCCCCTAGCCCTTCACATATGTACAATAGGATGCCTGCGACAGCAGTTATCACACGCACACCCGTGCAAGTGCAAAGGGCTCAGAGAAAGGAGCTGTGGAAGATAAAAGGTATTCCAGTCTTCCTTACCACTCAGCTCTGAAATGCATGACATGGCTATGCAGCGTGTCTGCATAGCCACGCCCATTACTAGGTCTTATTATGGGGTAGGGCTTATATTTAACAAATGCATAGAAATCCTGCTAGAACTTATTTGGGGGGTAGGCCATATTTTCAGGGAAACACAGTAGCATCCCACAAGAGCCACTTTATCCCTTCTTCATTTTCACAAGTCCCTGTCTCTGTATCTGGTTCTCAATCTTACCACCTGTCTCGAGGACAAGGTTCATGCCCTTTAGACTAAAGACCAGGCTCTTTATTTACCTGGACCCTATTCCTATAGTCCTTCCTCCTCCACTTTGAAAGTTTTCCTCCTATCTTCACCCATCACCAGAATTTTCCTGCCTTCACATGAAAGTCAACAAATGCTTCATTAAACCCTGCCCTTCTTCTAGCTGCTACCCAATCATTTACTCTTTCCCTTCTCATCCTTTATCTCTCTTTTCATTAACCAGCCTACCCTGTGCTTCCATCTGGCTTTGATTACGTCTGTAATAATGGAAATGTGTCACATTCATTGAAAACTTAGCTTGCAAAATACTTTCATAGACATCATCCTCTTCTTTTACATTTTTATTCAGATAAAATATACATATATGATTTATCATTTTTACTATTTTTAAACTTATAGTCCAGTGATAATAAATACACTTGAAACTCATAATTACTATGAAGTAAGTAGAACAAAATTATCTCCATTTTATAAAAGAAGAAACTGAACTTCTAGGTAATTAAGAAATTTGTCCAAAGTAAGAACATTCAGTAAGTAGCACAGGAGTTTGAACTGGATCCACTGGGTCCTGGTGTGTGACTTTCCACTGTTCTACTGTTCTGAGGATATCAGCTCTGATACTACTGGTGACCTCCTTCTTTTCAAACCCAGTGATAATTTTCTTAGTCATTTTATCCCTTTTGTGGAGAGGGGGGGTCCTTTGACAGTGGATAGACTAATTTTTAAAATCCTTGAAATGTTCTTTGTTCTCTGAAACTCTCTTTCCCGAGCTTTTGGGATACTGCCATTTTTAGCTCATTAACCATTCATCTTTTTTCTCCTTTCTTCAACCATTGTTCCATCGCCCCCAGATCTGGAAGTTTTTCTAATATTCAACTTTCTTCTCCTTCTCCTTCTTCTAATCGTCTCTCTCTTCATTGTCTTCTTTTCTAAATTTTTAGATGCTCCTCCTTGTGAGTCCATGGCTTTACACAGATGACTCCAATATCTGTTTCTAAATTAAAACCTTGAATACGTTTTAATTTTCCCACTCTTTCTTCCACTAGTCTATCTCATTTCTGTTTCTTCTTTCTATCCTGCTTACTACTACCCACCTCCAGGGACCTCCCTCCAGGGTGTCACCACCCGTCATCATGCACACTGCTGCCAAATATTTGCCTTAATTATAAAGCTTTCTTAGTGGCACTGTTTCCTCAAGAAGATCCATGTAGTAAAGCACGATCTGAACCTCACTATGTAAGCTTCACATGCAGCCACAAACATGACTGTCATGTTTCATGACTGTCATGAAAAGTTGTGCACAGTCAGCTGTCACACTGAGAAAATAGCTAGGGACGAGGCAATAATGGTCAACTGAAACTAGGTCATGTGCCACAAAGTAAACATATGCTAACCATAGCTAGGGCCTATCGTACTTGAGCTGGAGGTGACAAAAATAAATCACCCTCACATTCATCCTTACTTTCACACAGCTTGCTGTATTATTGGGTAGGAAGAACTAGCATGTAGGGTTTGCTTATTTATTTATTGTCCCACATTCATTAAAATATTACAGCAGAAAGATTCAAATGGCTCCATGTGGTGTTTTGAAATTCATAGCAACTATAGCCTGAATGACCTGCAGGCTGGACAGTCTGCCAGAGTCCCAAAGCTTTCACCTCTCCTTAGCATCAGGATCTATTTCTTCTTCTTTCTTTTTTTTTTTTTTTTTTTTAGAATATTCTAAATTTATTTTATTGGTTTTTGAGAAGGGTAAAAATACTATATATTCAAAAATTTAGTTTTTATTAAATCATAGCTGTGGACATTAATGCAATCATGGGGTACAATGTGCTGGTTTTATATACAATTTGAAATGCTTTCATCAAACTGGTTAACATAGCCTTCATGGCATTTTCTTAGTTATTGTGTTAAGACATTTATATTCCACACCTAGTAAATTTCACACGGACTCTTATAAGGTGCACCATAGATGTGGTCCCACCAATTACCCTCCCTCCACCCATCCTCCCCCTCCTCTCCCCTCCCCTCTCTTTCCTCTTCTTCTTGGGCTATAATTGGGTTACAGTTTTCATAAGAAAGCTATAAATTGGTTTCATAGTAAGACTGAGTACATTGGATACTTTTTCTCCCATTCTTGAAATACTTTGCCAAGAAAAATATGTTCTAGCTCCATCCATGTAAACATGTAAGAGGCAAAGTCTCCATCTTCCTTTAAGGCTACATAATATTCCATGGTATACATACACCACAGTTTATTGATCCATTCATGGGTGGATGGGCACTTGGGCTTCTTCCGTGACTTAGCAATTATGAATTGAACTGTAATAAACATTCTGGTACATATATCTTTGTTATAATGTTATTTTTGGTCTTCTGGATATATACCTAGTAGAAGAATTGTAGGCTCAAATGGCAGGTCTATTTTTAGATCTCTAAGTGTTCTCCAAACAGTCAGGATCTATTTAAATGGTCCCCTGATCCAGGGCTGAGGCTTCAGGATGAAGCAGATGGATGGGAGAGTTATCTCTAGTTATCTCTATCTAGAGATAGTTATCTATCCTTTTCCCCTCGTCCTCCTGCAGCCTGGGGGGGATACCTCTCACAGGGCCTCTCTGAATCTGCTCCCTCGGCCATCTTGCAGGGGAGCTTCTTGCTGGGAATAACAGTGATCTCTTCTCACACATGCTTGTTTGTGTGAAATCATTGCCCAGATGTGTGTAGCGTTTCTCAGTGATGATCCCAGCCACCTTTTCACATTTTCGATGTGAACACAGCTCATATTGGTTAGGTCCTTGGTAAAAGAGGCCATACCAAGTTTTAAAACACAGACTTTACTCCATGGAAAAGGGAAGCTATCAAAGGTTTTAAAAGCAAAAGTAGAGTCGGCTCACTGCTATAGTTTGAATGTACCCACAACGTTCATGTGTTGAACCATTAATCTCCAATCCAATGGTGTGGAGAAGTGGGACTGTAAGAGGTGATTAGGTCATGAGGGTTCTGCTGTTCTGGAGTGGGTTAGTTATCTCAGGAGTGGGGTCATGATCAAGGACACATTCAGCCACCTTCTCTTTCCCTCTCTCTTTCAAGCTTTCTTGCCTTCCCACCTTCTGCCATGGGTGACTTAGCAAGAGGGAGATGGAGGCTCCTCAAACTTGGACTTTGTTTGTAGCTTTCAGAAATGTAAGAAATAATGCTAGTTCTTTTAAAATTACCCACTCTTAGATATTTTGTTGTAGCAGCACAAAAAGGATTAAGACACTCAGACCTGAATTTCGGAAAGTATCCTTATTAGCTTCCATATGGATCCAAGCTCATTGGCTCCTCCTCCTATTCAAACTCTCCCAAACTAAGCGTCCTTACACACAACCTTCAGAATGTCAGATAAAGGGTTACCATCACAAATCATAATTTGGTGTTTTCATAAAACACCAAAGTTTTTTAAAAACTGGAGGGAAATAACAGACAGAAAATTTACAAAAATATAAATTTTCAAAAAGTACATTCAAAATAATAGCAATAAAAATAATTTCAAATAATTTGATAGGTGATATGGCATTTCACCTATCACATTTGAAAATATTTAAAAGGAAGGCAATAACCACTGTTGGCTCTGGTTAAAAGATGAGGAAATGAGAATTTTCATACGCTGCTGATGGAACTGGAAATTGTTGAAAATTTCTAACAGGTGATTTGGTAACATATAAGTATATATACATAATATTTCAGATACACTTTTTCTCATTACTTGTACTTCTTGAAATTATCCTAAGGAAATAATTCCGTAACTTCACAGGTTATTCATTGCAGAATAGCTTATAATTGCAAAAATAAACTGGAAATAGCCCATAAAGGTAGGTGATTGGTTTATGTACGCTGTGTCAATATATCAAATTATTACATAACCATTAAAATTATAAAGAAGTTGTATTTATTGACATAGTAAGATGCTTCTAAAAATATCTAAGTAGAAAATAAGGTTATAAGACTATATATATTGTGTATGCTTACAGTCTGAAAAAATACAACAAAATGATGACATATAAAAATATATGGTAATTAAAGATTTCAAATTTTTCCCTACTTTTTTCAAATTTTCCCCTATTCTACTTTTTCTATAATGAAAAAATTATTTATGTATATTATTAATGTTAAATTATTTATGTATATTATTCTCTCAGGTTTAATAGTCGACATAAAGTATTCCTATGAAGATTCCCTGTGTCTTCCACAAAATTGATGTCTATGTGTTATTTGCATTTTTTTAATCATCTCAAAAATTTTATTAAAAGCACTTGACAAAGTAAAACACATTTCATTACAAATTCAAAATGGTATACATTCAAAAGTATGAACCTCAACATAATAAGGTCATGTAAACAAGCCCTCAGATACCATTATACTCAACAATTATAATGTTTCATCTAAAAATATGGAACACTTCATGAACTTGCATGTCATCCTTGTGCAGGAGCCATGCTAATCTCTGTATCGTCCTAATTTTAGTACATGTGCTGCTGAAGCCAGCACTCTATGTGTTATTTACTTAATAACAGCAAACACTTCTGCAACACTTTAAATACTGAGCAGTAATCTGAAGGAGATAAATGATATAGATAGATATAGATTAGATATAAACTTAACTCATTGGATCCTCATGATAACCCTGAGCTGGGTACTCTTATTATCCCTATTTTACTGGTGAAGAAACAGAAACACAAAGGATGAGCAGGTGCCCAAGTTCATACAGGTGGTGATTGTTGATACCCTTAACCTTCACACTGACCTAACCACACACTGACTTCTGTTTAAACTTGCTAAGCTTTAATGCCCTCACCTGAATAGTGAGAATAATAATGTCACCTATCTCGTGGGCTTGCTGAAGTGAAGCATGAAAGAACCTAGCTGAATGCCTGACACTCAGAGTTAGTAAGTGCTAGCTATTACTGATAACAAAAGTAAGAAGAACACTGCTCCTAGGATTCCGACTATCACCACCAGTTCAGCTTCACTTATTTCCTACAGAGCCCCAACACATGCTGTCTGCTTTATTTCTGTTATCTTCCGAATATGTCACACTCTTGTCTCTGCTCCTGCTGTTGGCCTCACTGACGTCAGGACAGAGGACCTCTCCCAGTCACACTGGGCCATAAAAGCCTCGTTCTGAGCCCTTCGCTAATTACTCTCATTGCTTCTGACCTTCTATTGCACTCTACTCATTAACACCCACAAGACAATCGGTGCACTATTAAATGCTAGTTCTTCTCCCCAACAATACAGCAAGCTGTGTGAAAGCAACGATGAATGTTAGGGTGATTTTTCTTTTTGTTATCTCCAACCCAAGTACAATAGGACCTAGGTGTATTTAACATAGATTTGCTTTATTTCTACTTCCTCACGGAAATAGGCCCGTAAAAAAATAGAAAATTGCTGTTTATCTAAGTTTTGCAGCATTTTTTTTCCAGAAGAAAGAGATAAATCACAATATTAACATCAAGAGAATTAAAATCACGTGCAAATGTAAACGCAGATAGGTATGCAAATTTTATATGATTATTAATGTGTATAATATGAATTAATACATATACAATATTAATAACATTAGAATTGACCATAGCTATTTACTGCATGTCTCCTTTGGGTCCAGCACTACATCAAACGATGCATAGACATGACATCTGACAACCGTAATAGTAACAGAAATAGTGCCTCTGTAGAATTGCAGGATGAGATGAGGAGCCTGCCTTATCATGCCGGAAATCAACTCCAGTTTGCTCCAACTCCACAAGATACGCTCTGCTCCTCTCTATATGTCCTTTTGTCCTATGTCTTTATACAAAGTTGAGATTTAAGATCTGTTTTTCTAGTTCTTAAATATGTCAATAAAACCACTGTTTTTGCTTGTTTGTTCGTTTGCTTTTGGCCAAATTTGCCTTTCTGAAAATTCGGATCAGTATCGAGTGCTCGTTTCAGCTAATCTCCCAGGCGATTTTGTACAATAATACCAGAGAGACATTGTTTTCAGGGAGCATCTAATTAAAGATGGGGTCTACACTCTGGGCACTACCACCAGGAAGCTTTGGGTATGTATCATTATTAGAGCCATTAGGGATTAGCGCGAAGATCTCAGGTCTTTCTGTGTCCAAGGTTGAGGAAAAGTCGACCCTTTAGAAACACTGTATCTATATCCCCTGGTGAATAAGACAGCGAAACAGGAAATACAGTCACTGTGACAGTCCCCAGAGTCTTTGTTCTGTGGATGTATGGACAACTTTATCCCGGTATTTCAGCCTGGGGTGCTGAGCTATAAATAGCAGCAGAGCCGTTCAGAAGACAAGACTCCGGTGGCCACATGAAAGTTGTTCTTTGATCCCCGGAGTATCATCGCCCCTCTGTGTCGTGTGGTCCCCTCCCCTCAGAACGTTCTCCTAGGCCACTCCCAGACCACTCGGCTGGACTCCTAAACTGAGCAGTTGCATGAAACAGATGGCAAAACTTTTTCCTCACATGCAAAGACTTGTAAAGAGCCTCATAAATAGCTAGAAACAGATCCAACCTTCACATCCGAATAACAACTCCCACCGCCTTCAAATCCCGTTTGAAAGTTTGAGCTCAGCACACAACTGCAGGTCCGCAGTCTCGCTGCTTCCTACTCTTCTAAGCTGTCCTTCACGCAGCAACTAAATGTTTAATAGGAAACAAGCAGCTATTTTTAAAATGTGGGTATTAGTTTTATGTAATACAAACTCTCCACAAGTTTTTTTTTAACTTAAAGAAGTACTTGTTGCATAGTTTTTATTATTTGAATAATTTGGGGAACGAATATGAGAATACTGTTTCTCTACCAGCATAATCAGAGAACATGAAATTCATTTTCATGTAGTTAAAATTCACTGAAGCCTGGCGTTTTAAGACTTAAAATCTTTTCTGAAAAATAACCTTTGTAAAAATCCAAATGTGCGTCCTCCCCCTTCAGCAAATGTTGGCTTTTGTTATTTTTTTTTATAGGCGGCATATTGAATTTCCCAGGCTGTGTTTCTGAACAGCAATCTACTGAAAAAAGTGCAATTATTTTTTTTCACTCAAACATGCATTTGAGAGAAATGAGTAGATCAGATAAAGAGCTGAGATGCTATTCAAGTCAACCTTGAGTCCCTCTCTGTCTCTTTAAAAAAAAAAAAAAAGGGTGGCAAAATCAATACAAACCAATAATAACTTCACATTTGTGGAAGCAACATGAATGGCTCTCCAAAATATTGAGACACATCCAAGTACATTTTCGTAGAGCTGATATTTATCAGAAGTCATTTGCCCTCAAGCAGATGCTCCCTTTCATTGTGCTCCTGTCACAAATGACTAAGATTTATGACAGACAATTACAGCATCTGCAGTTAGCAGCCTTATAATCAGCACCATTATTTAACGATTGGTGCAATAAACTGACTCCTGTTACTGTTTATCAGATATCAGTCAGTTCTGGCCATTTTCTTCAGCTCCCAAATCACAGTATGGTGCAGCCACTGCCTTTTAATGGCTAGGCAGAAGCAGGAGCGTTTTCACATTTTTTACAGGCTGCCGAGGCAAAGAAAAAAGCAACCAATTACATGTATGTATGCTGCCCTCTCATTTGAGATGCCCGTGTACGCAACTATCTCTAGACGGTTCTAAACCTCTTGGAGGAAAAAGAAGCTTTTACTGAGGAGAAGGGCTTTTCATGTTAAAAAAACAAAAACACAATAAAACAAAAATATGAAAAAAAAATCCCTCCTGCCTGCCTCCTTTTTTTAAGTTCTCTGTTTAAATTTGCAGCCTTTTCTGAGTATTAAATGTTACTCTCTTGGTCTACTGTTTTATCTTGTAAGTGTGGTTTAAGATTGTCTTGCATAACCAGAAAAGCTGTTATTGTCCCCGAAAAATATTTGTCAAGGAGCAGATTTTTTTTTTGTCCAAACTCCGTGAGGTTTTGCTCAGTGGGAAGTGCTTGGACACAAGGAAATTAAGTTTTTCATAAGTCAAAACGCTCCACATTTAAAAGAAATCATGTGTGTATGCTTAAAAGTCACTTATACATTACAGAATTCTATAGTTCTAAATATAAAAACAGGCAGAGGTATAGATAGCATTTAAAATCCTTCCACAAAAAATAAATAAATAAAATAAAATCCTTCCACAAGAAACACTGCACGTTTATGTATCAAACATGAGTGGCTGGCACCAAGGCAGAGGCTTCCTGGAAGGCAAGACTTCAGTGTAATGTGGGAAATGGTACAAAAATATAAATTTATAGTCAGTCAAAATAAAAAGCTTATATAATGCTTCCGTAGATGTTTAGGTATCAAATGCCATTCTGATTATTTAAAGAAAAAATAAAACACAATGCCAGATCTTATATATTCTTTTGTTACTTTTCTCATAACCACATGAGCTAAGTTTCTTCTTCGTAGCAATAAGCATTTTGTCCAACATTTTCCATTTTATATATTTGATAATTTTGCACATGCCTAGTGGAAAATATCGATGAAGCTACATTTACAATGTAAAGTCTGTGTTTCATTCAAAAGCTACATGCTTCTCTCAAGGGGAGATACAATATTGGAGAACAGATTAGTATGGTCTTTTAATTAAAAATACATTAATGACCCCAGGGGAATCAGATTCCCTTTCTGGAAAAATGTATAAAGGGTTTTAACCAGTTAACATGTAAAACTCGTTATTTTCTAACTTTGACAAGAACTTCACAGGCCTTCATAAGCGAGACCTCAGAATTCCACATGACATTTCAACAGAAAACTAGTGAGAATGGTGGTTCTCAGACATTCAAGCTGGAAAGGCCATAGGTGTTACTCTGCGCAGCCCTCTCGTTTGAGAGATGGTCAGGGGGAGGGTGTGAGTTAAGTGATTTTCAGCGGAGCACAGAATTAGACACTGGCGCAGCTCTGATTGGATCCCAAGTACATGGGTTTCTAGCAAGGTCTTTTCCTGTGGAGTCCACACCAGATGGCCCAGCTGCTCTCTCCAAGCCTGGCAGAAACCAGCCCTTGGGCCCTGGTAAGACAGATTCTATTCTGGGTGTTCTGCGCAGCCTCCCACAGAGCCCTGTGCCCTGTGGCTCAAAGAAACCAAGTTTCCATGGATCCTCAAGTTACTTACTACACCACTTCCCTAGCCTGACCTGGAGCCAGGAGAGAAATTCAGTCATACAAATAAGGAAAACTTTTATTCCATCAGTGGGTACCAAAGTTAGCTCAAGTTGTTGGCTCTTAAATTTCCTGCTGTGGTAGTTTGGTACCTTGTATCCATCTTGATTTTGTTTCCTTTTTGGATTTTCTTCTTTTTTTGAGGTTTTTTTTTTTTTTAACTGTTTTGCACAAGTGATTGCAAAGTCATGCAAAAGCTGTATTTTATTTCACTGATTTGGCAGCATCAAATAACCAGAAATTTCGCAGAGTCAAGAGGTAGCCAGACTAACCTTTCTTTGTCTGTGATACACAGAAACCTATTACTGCATTGACAGGTTTCCCATTCCACTG